TAAGGCCGTCTCTCGACGACGGAAAGTGGAGGGTAGAAGGAACCAAGGGTTGCGCAGGAGCGACGAGAAGAACGGAAAGGCGCGCCATCCTCCTAACACTCCAAGAGTCCCCTCCAAAGTAAGAACACGAACGCAAGGACCCAGAACACAAAAGCGACCAGCAAAGAAGCAAACGCACCTCCGGCCCCGTCTCGTTATCCGGACACAGCACATAAAACTCGCCCGCCGCGACGCGCGCGAGCATGTGCCGCACCGTCTCCTGCGCCGTCCACGCGCCCGCGGGCTTGGCGCCGCCGCTGTGCGCGCCCGTCAGGCCTGTGTACGTCCAGCCGGGACTGGGGGAGGGGTTAGCGAGGTGAAGAAGAGGACGAGGACGGGGGAAGAAGGAGGAAGAGGAAAGACGGCTAGGAGGAAGGAAATCTCGAATGTAAGAGAGTCGGTCAGCCACACGCCGGCCTCAATACGTGTCAGCCGCCCATCCCTTCTTTCTTTATACATTCATCCGCCCACACACCCCGTTCCCCCCGCGCTACGAATCCGAAGAGGAAAGGTCAACGACGGGCACCGAACCCCGGCGCACTGCACCACACCGCGCAACTCTCGGCCGCTCACCCGTAGCCATGTCCATCGTCTACATGACGCGCCGCTGCGCAGGCTCGACGCGGCATGCGCCACGCCAGCCGTGCTTTGTGCGGGGCCGGGAACTGCCGCCTCGTCCGTCAGGCCTTCTTCATCCCCGTCGCCCGGTGACCGCACGACACGCGACCCGCGCGCATCGCCCAGTCGACGCGGCGGCCGTACACCCATCAAGGCAAGACGCGCGACGGACGCGACGCGCCATAGAACCCCAACGCCAGCGCCCCCGTGCGCTCCTCCGGGGCTCGACCACAACACGGCGTCAGCCGTTTCCCCTGCTCCTACAATCCATCCACACACCCCGTCGCGGTGAGTCGCCCATTGCCCGCGCCGGCCTTGGACGCGACCCGCGCGCATCGCCCAGTGGACGCGGCGGCCGTAAACCCAATCGAGACGAGCCAACGGACGCGACGCGCCATAGAACGCCAACGCCAGCGCCCTCGTGCTCTCCCCGCTGCCGAGGACTCTCGCGTTGCCTGTCAGCCAATCACCTGCGGGTGTGTACCCGTCAGCCGCTTCCCTCGTCGTCCCCTTCACCTTTTCCACACCGCACAATCCGGCCCGCTGTCCTCGTCGCCCAGTGGCACAATCGACGCGTCGCGTCGACCACACCAGACGCTTCAGCACGATGCGCGACGCCCGCGCCGACGCGCCAAGGCTCGCCCCCTCGTTCCTCGTTCCCCATCCCCCTCCACCCACACATCCAGCCCGCGGCCCTCGTCGTCCGGCCAGCCACACACTCCCCGCGCCGACCGCACGACCACCAAGTCGAGGCGAGGCGAGGCGAGGCGAGGCGTCTGGCGTACCCCAGCCCGCGGCACCCCGCCCGAGACGCGCAGAACCGACGGACGCGCCGACGCGCCGCTCCGCCCCCTCTCCTTCCCGAATCCACACACACACAAGTAGGGCGGCTCCACCACCCCACCGCCCTACCGATCGCGAGACGAGCGCAACCGACGTCCGCCCGGGCATGCAGACGCGACCTCGCCCGCTTGCCTGCCAGCCACCTCTCCGGCCCAAGTCTCCACCGGTCGTCAGCCGCCCCGCCCCAAATCGCCGCGTCAGCCGCACCGGGGGACAGCTTCCTTCTCTTCCACCCACCGTGCGCAGGCAGTCACCAGCATCAGCATCATGGACTGGGAGCCGCTACCGCCGGCCCACCACGGCGTCCTCTCCGCGAGAAGGCCCCATGCCGCGGTAGACGCACCCACGCCGTCCCGCCGCGCTCGCCACACTCGCCGCACTCGCCACACTTGCCGCACTCGCCCCTCCTGCCCACGGCGTCAGCCCCCGCTGTCACCCCCACCCCGCCCCCGCGCCGCACGCCAGCCGCGGCATCGGAACGAGCAAGGGACGGCCCTCGGCCCTCGGCCACGCCCCAAAACCATAGCAAGGAACGCCCCCCCGCCGCCGCCCCGCACTCCTTTCAAACCCCCCCCCCTCCCAAAAGAAACCAAAAAATAACCAACAAAAACAGATAAGCGAAAAAAAAAGAAGAAAACAAAAACAAAAAAGATTCAAGGAAGACAAAACACGCACACGAACAGATGCGCGCTCACGCTCCCCGCGCCGCCCGCCGCCGCGCGCGTGCGCAGCTCGTGCGCGAGGCCCTCGGTGAGCGACTTGACCGCGGCTTTGGACGCGTTGTAGGCGGTGTTGCCGCTGGGGGGTGTGTGAGTTGTTTAATATTGTTGAGAAGAGGAGGAGGAAGGAAGGATAAAGAGGACAAGGGAAGGGGGAGGTGGGGAAGGGGGAGAGGAGGGAGGGTACGAGTATGGGGAAGGGAGGAAGCGTCGAGAGGAAGGTGAGGACGGAGGAACGGCATGACTGCGCGCGTCAGCGGGAAGGAGGCGGATGGGGGACGCGTTCCGGGACGGCGCTGACCAGCGAGGGGAGCCGGGACGGGAAGGGGAACGCGCGAAGCAGGAAGCAGGAAGGAAGGAAGGAAGACGGGACGGAGGAGGGCGGGGGACACGAGGGACGGGGACACGAGGAACGGGGGACGGGGCACGGAGGACGGGGGCGGACGGAAGGCGGGGACGAGTATGGGGGAAAGGAGGACGGGGGCGGAGGACGAGGGAAGGCGGGGGCATGAGGAACAGGGGCGGAAGTGGTATGCGTAGAAGCGGGGTAGAAGCGGGGTGGGAACGGGGAACGGAAGGGAACGGGTCCAAACAAGCGCGACGCGGGAAGTGGACGCGCCGATACCGAGAACGGATGTGCGATAAGGGATGTGCGATGGAACGAAATAGGCATGGGACGCGGCGCGGCGCGTCGGGAGATGGGCGCGAGGTATGGAGGTATGGAGGCAGGGGAATATGGGAAGGTATAGATGGCGCGCGTCGATGCATAGCAGAGTGGAGGATATGGGGGGGTATGGATAGGCAGGGCGCGGAGGCCCGAGTATGGAGGGGCGGGGATGAGTACGTATGCGGAGATGCGAGTGGGGACTCGAAGAAAAGGACGGGGAAGGCGCAGGGGGAGGGGGAGAAGGCGGGGGAGGAACGAAGAAGGCAAGGCAAGGCACGGCCCAACGCGGTCGCGTGCCCTCTCGCAGGGGCGGGCGCCTCCTCTATCCAAAAACCCCAAAAACGCGAAGAAAACCACTCACGGCGGGTTCGTCACGCCCTGCTTGCTCCCCGTGTTGATCACCATCGCCGGGTTCTCCTGGTGCAGCATCGCGCCCACGAACGTCTGCTGCACCGCCACGACCCCCAGCACGTTCGTCGCGAACACCGCGTGCCACGCGGAGAGGTTGTCGAGCGAGGTGCCTGGGCGAGGTGAGCACGAGGGTAAAAGAGGGGAGAGAGGGGGGGGGAGAGGAAGGAGAGTCGCGGCGACGCGCTCCCGCAAGAGAATGCCTACGACACGGGCACAAGGTAATGCCTGCGGCGCGGACAGATGGCCTGCGGCGCCAGAGCATAGATTGCCTGCGGCGCGCTCGACAGTCTAACGACGGTCTCGTAGGGCGCGGTCCCCGGGCGCTCTCTACCCAACATCTCACAAGGCTCACTCACCCTGCACACCCTCCTCCCCGCCCACGCCCGCATTATTCATGAGCACGCCGACCTCGTGCCACGTCTCGTACACGGTGTCACGCAGGCGCACGATGTCGGCGAGCACGCGCACGTCCGTGGGGACGACGAGGACGTTCGCCTCGCCGACGAGGTCCGCGAGGTCCGCGGCGAGGGCGGTGAGGGCGGGGAGGGCCGCGGGCAGATCGGCGAGCGCGATCTTCATACCGAGGGCGGCGAGTTCGCGCGCGGCGGCGGCGCCGATGCTGGGTGCGTCGTGGGTTAGAGATGCCATCGATTAGGGCAGGGAAGCGCACCCAGAGGCGGCGCCGGTGATGACTGCGACGCGGCCGGGGTGGAGGACGGGGTGGGCGGTGTCGGCGTCGGTGGGGTCGAAGGCGCCCGACGGCTCGAACGACGCCGAGCCCGACAGCGCGGGCCGCTTGGGCGAGGGCCCGCGCGAGCGGGGTGACTGCAGCATTGCGGGACGGTAAGACGGTAAATATGAGGAAGGGAAAGTAGAGACGGGAGAGGAAGTGGGGGCGTGACGTCACGATGCCGGCGACGACGGGCGCGATGGGCACGATGCCGGGCACGACGAGCGCGATGCCGACGGCGACGAGCAGCACGCGGGGGCACAACGAGCACGAGCACAGCACCGGGCTCCGGATAGCGCCGTCGCCGTTGACAGTTTATGTCAAGCAGGGTTTCTGGCGGCCGACACGGACGGTGTGCGCCAGCCGCTAGCCTGTGATTCCCGTTTGCTTCCGCCCAGCTGGCATCTGGACCCACACCTAGTCTGGTGCTCTCGAGTCCCTTTTCACCCTGCTACCGTACGCACCAATTGCTTCCCTGGTCCGCGCGTCTATCGGCGTCTAAACGCTAAATCCACGTACTTGCGGGCGCTAACAGCTAGTGTTGCTTCTCTGCGGTACACGTCCCCTCCCTCAAGTCACTCGATATCGATTAAAATCGCCGCCACCTCCAGCATCCCGCGCATATAAACACGTCCCATCTCGATCGCTCCGTTGGCCCAGCCCAACCCTGCTAGTCACCGGCCTCGCTGCTCCAAAACGCGCCGCCGCAACCGTCGAACGCGTCCCGGGTCGCTGCACCGCGAACTAACCGGCCCCACAAGTAATCGCTGTGCAACATGAAGGAGGGAATACCCCGAAGCGTCTCTCCCGGGATGTCCCGCGGAAACCCATGTACCGCTGGTGGGCAGGACAGCCTGAGTAGAGACTCCGCACTTCGCGAACACGAGGTCAGGCTGCGAAACCCGCGCCGCGATCTTGTACGTTGTAAGTACGCCTCGGGTGGAAAAAAGAACGCGCCTGCCCTCGGCAAAACTGATTCGACCCGGGTTCGAACCGAGCACCGCCTGTGGAGCTTCCGAAGCTGTGAAACAGAAGTGATAAACCAACTACACCATCGAACCGAGGGTTGATCCGACGTGGTGCGTGGTGTGGTCCGTGGGGGGGGCGGATGGGCTTTTTTAACTTCTAGGGAGGAAGTGCGTCCCCGCCGGGCCAAGTTCTGTAGGCCTTGGCCAGCTTCTGCATCAATCCTATGCGACCGAACCGCGATGAAGCCAATGCATCAACTTCGCGCTCGACTTTCCGGTGCGGGTGCTCGGACTGAATTACCCGGATGCATGTGCATATATTTGCGGCTGGGTAGGCTGGAACTTATAAGTATCTCGGCGCCAAGCTCGGCAGCTAAAATCCCCCGTGCGCACTCACCCGCTCCTAACGCGTACCGAAGCGCCAGGTGCAGGTGCGCCAACACGCGCCGCGCGGACGGTCCGGTCGATCGTGGCGGGCGGCTGGGCACCGTGACGGACGTCGTTCGCGCCGCCGCGGGCTGGTCTCGCGGGCGTCCACGGGTGCTCACGCCCAGACCTGGGTGTATCATGTCATGTTATAGCATCCCGTGTGTGGGCTGCATTTCATTTCCTGCCATGCGGCTCGTTTATATGCGTCGCTTCGCCGAGTCGATTGGGTACATGCGTATTTCCGAGCTTACCCTACGTTCTCGATTCTCGAAGAAGCTCGGTACGTAAGAAAAAAATCTTTCTCTAGATCTCCTACCCAGCGCCTCGGCTTTATCGCTCGTGCTAGGCAAATTCCGACGTTGGACAGAAAATATTCAAACAGCACCGCGTCTGTTGCATGCGCGAGCCGCATATTTCGTCGGGCGGCTGGGACCCATTTGATCCTACGCGCATGTGCGTATTTTAGGTCGCTATCGTACATTAAACGCGGAGCTTGATTCAACTTCAACTTCAACTTCAACTTCATCGAAACGTTCAATCGAACATGAATCACGTGCGTGTTCGAAAAATTGTCTGGGTATCCTCCCTGCCGCGGGCGTTCCATGTTTTACCCCCCGCTGCTGAGCGAGTGGAATCTTGGCGTGCCTCCACCGCACGTGTACAGTGAGCTCTCGGGGAATTCGGAACGGTGTGAATTTGGAAACAAGTGATTCCTCCTCTAGATCTTGACCGGCTTTATTGCGGGGACGCCGCCGACCCATTTCTGACACGCAAATATTCATCCTATCCCGAGTCGTCTCTACAGAATTTTCGCCGTTCTTCAAGTAGGCCTCAGCCGCGCAAAATACCCGCTCCACCTTGCCTGGTGCGCCGGATAGAATTTAATTTTGTTTAAAAGCTGGAATGCATTTCCTTCATTCAGGGGTGCCGCAGCGCCCCGTTGAATTCCTCTGCTGATGTGCATCTGCGCATCTCTCTAGTGCCCAGCATCTGGGCTCTGGGCTCTGAGTGCACGAGTCCCTTTCTTCCGCGTCCCCGCACCGTCCATTGTTGCCCCGGTCCGCGACTCCGGATCCGCGCCAGCCTAGCGCGCGTCTATCGGCGCGTCTGTCGAGCGCCCGTCGCGCGTCTAAACCTTGGACGCTCAACGGCACACGTCCCCGCCTGTGAACAAACGACGCTCCCTTACCGATATCGATTAAATCCCCGCCACTAGACTGCCCCACGCTGGAGTGGAGCGGCCACGCGGAGCTCAATGCGCTGCCGCTGAGCGTCGGGGGCAAGCGGGCAGGGAAAACGCGCACCGCTGCGGCGCCGACCTTGACCGTGCATGCGGCGGGGCACATGGTGCGTGTGCAAAGCAGCTATTATCCCGCTGGCCATACTTTCAGGGTCCGCACGATAAGCCCGAGGAGTCGCTGGCGCGGGTTAATCGCTGGATTGCAGGAAAAGCGCTCTAGTATTCAAAAGCGTTGTCGAGAAATGGCGATGACCAACGGAGCGGAATGTATTCATTCCATGTATCCAGTTGACGAGGTAACCACACATCGCCGCATTCGATTAGACAGACGTGAGTGCGCTCCCGCAGTTCCAAGAGAGCGCCTCGTCGTTGAAATCTATCCCCGGCGCCCGAAAGTCAGGGATCTCCCCGCTGATAACCAAGCGCGTCCCGACACAGTTGAGCTCGCTGACAAAATTTAAACCAACATCAGACCTGGCACGTACTCGTGCACGGAAAGGGGCGGACGCACGAATAGAGGAAACAGGTATAGCCGTCGGTCAGTCCGCGCGCACTGGATATGGTGTGGATGAATGGCCCCGTCATCGGGCCGCAGCCGGTGAAGTTCGGCGCGTCGAAGGGAGCAGAGACAAAGGTCGCACAGCTGCCTCCGAAATTGATGTCGGTGCAGACTTCCCCGAGCGAGACGACTTCCCGCGGGACGAGGGCGCTCTGCACCGAGCGCCTTAGTAAGTTTCTATAGTGGGTGGTCTGAATTTTGACACGTACGGGTGCAGCGAGGACAGCGGCGATGAGGGAAAAGAACACGGTGAAGGAGTGCATTGTGGTCTGGAACGAAGCTCGGAAGGGAAATGAAGACTCGGAGAGAGACTGAGGAGCAAGTTGGGTTTGTGGGTGATTTTATACTAGGGCAGGCGCCTCTTTTGAAACGCACAGATTAAGCGCCGTCAATGGGCTGGACGTGCCATGAATTTATTGAACCCTAGACCGGGGGTTGCGTGTGATTCCATAGATCCAGTAGACGCGCGCCGTCAACTGACAGTAGGGAGGACGTGAAGTTGTCGAGGTAAGCCACAAATGGGCGCCTCTTTTGAAACGCCACGGACGGCGGGCCATGAATTTATTAAACCCTAGACCGAGGGTTGCGTGTGGTTCCATAGATCCAGTAGACGCGCGCCGTCAACTGACAGTTGAACTGGCTAGGAAGGACGTGTTGCGAGTCGGGGGTAAGCCATAAATGTATTGACCCCTCTACCGAGGGCTGCGCTGCCCGTCCAGAAACCGGAGAATCCTGACGTACGAATCTGCGCTTGCTACTACTAGTCTAGAATCTGTCCTCTCTTCCAAGGTGAGCCATGTTCAGATTTATCCGTTCAGCTAATTTCCTGCTCCAATGCAGTGGCTGCTAGTCTCTTATACTGGAAACAGGCGCTACAACGGGAAGCTCGTGCCTCTGAGTGGTCGCAGGCACTTCCCGACTCTCGGGCCTGACCGCCGCGGCGCTGCCCATGCAATCCGTTCAGGGCCCGAATGTATTTCATCCCGCAGTATGATTTGCGCAACGAGGTTGCTTTATTTATTCGTTGCTATTAATGCGATGAAGACAATGGACAAATCCTGACTACGAATTTTCACCCGCGGTGTCCTCACAAAAAAATCAACTGGACGAGCAAAAACAACTGGCACGTGAGAGCGACATTATTTTTTTCCGCAGCCTCACTTATGTCGAGTCCAGACTGTGCCTACTGTGCCAGCCCGCCTAGGTGATCATCTAATATGACAGTGCTGCTCGTGCCGGCTGATCTCGTGGCACAACGAAGATAAACGTCGGTGGGAACGGGCTGTCATGTTCATGTGGTGCGTGTATAAATAATACTATAGAGTTTCCCGCAATTGGCCACTCAACGATGATTGGTTCTCCCCCATCGCAATGGCAGTCGACTCACCCGAAATTGCTACTGCGTGGCTGAAGACCTTCGGAGACTTTCTTACGGCGGGCGACGTGGCAGGGGCAACATCGTGCTTTTCCCCAGACGGCTACCTGCGCGACATCCTCGTCTTCACATGGAAGAATCGCACGTTGGGCGGGCACGCGCGGATTGCGGCGTACCTGAAGGATACGCTCAAGCCCGCCGCTATTACCCAGGTTCTGCTCGACACCAGGCCGCATTTGACCCCCGAGTTCGGGCATGTAACGCATGCTGCGTCGGGGGTGTCCTCTGGGTTCACCTTTGAGACCACGGTCGGCCACGGGCAAGGCTACTTCTCGCTTGTGCAGAATGAGGCCGGGGTGTGGAAGGCGTTGATGGTGTTCACGAGACTTGCGGATATTCGGGGACATGAGGAGTCTGGCCCAGAGAAGGGGGTGTATGGCGGACACACAATTGCGTGGCACGATGTTCATCGCCAGCGTCGAGAGGACATCGAGCGTAATCCGCATGTTTTAATCAGTGCGTATTCATCGAATAATTCGCTATTTGCCGCTAAATTGAGGTTCAGTTGGCGCGGGCCAGACTGGTCTGAACGTAGGAGCCAGATTTCGTCAAATGAATATACCCTCTCTTATAATCGAGACGAATGCCCGAGTTGGAGACAATTGGAGGAAGAGGTACCCGACCTTGACGCTGCACACAATCAAAACGCAACACACAAGTATGTTGTAAATCCAGCATGTCAGAACAGCATTTAACAGTTGTCTTCTTCCAGTGTTATACCAACCGTACCCCGCCAACTGGCCTATCTACACCCCGCGCAACAAGCTGGCTGATTGGCTCGAACATTATGCGATCTCTCAAGATCTGGTTGTATGGACGAATTCTCGCGCACTTCCCACGCCAATTTACGACCCCGTCTCCAAACGATGGACCGTCGTCGTTGACCGAGCGGGCGAGCAAATCACCCTCCGTCCAGCTCACATCGTCCTCGCCGCTGGCACCGTGGGTGCTCCTCGGATTCCGTCCATCCCCAATGCGGACGTCTTCACTGGGACCAACATTCACGCCGCGGCGTATGCTGGTGGGAAACAATTCGCCGGGAAACGCACGCTGGTCGTCGGCGCGGGCAATAGTTCTGCGGATATCTGCCAAGATCTTGCTTTTCAGGGTGCGGCGTCAGTCACGATGCTCCAGCGCTCCTCGACGTGCGTCGTGTCTTGCGAGAACGTCGCGCGAAAACTGGAGCGCCTGTGGCCCGCAGATGTGCGGACGGATGTGGCGGATTTCAAGGTAGAGGTGATGCCGTATCTACTCCTGCGAGAAATTGGAAAGGCGACGACGGATAAGATGTGGGCAGAGGAGAAGGAGACTCACGAGGGGCTCAGGGAAGCGGGATTGAGCCTGACTATGGGCAAGGATGGAAGCGGACAGTATCCAATGATCTTTGAGCGCTTTGGGGGTGCGTGAATCTTAAACGCATTATCTTTTGA